AAATGAAATGCCTTTGCCCATCTATAAACTGTTTTAGTTATCTATGATACACAGACAGGACTCGCTACTGATTTGGGGAATAATATAATTTGGTTTTATCTTACCTAGAGAATCATAGAATATCAGAGTCGGAACGGATCTCAGGAGGTCATCTAGTCCAACGCCCTGTCAAAGCAGGACCAATCCCCAACTAAATCATCCAAGAGTGTAGAAGAGTGTCCCCACCAGAGCGTACCCACTCTAAAGGTGCAATCTTTGTTGAAAGCTCTCCAGACAGACAGAGGAGACTGTATCTGAAGTAACTAGTGTTTACTGCTTGTGTTCTGTTTTGTCTGTCTTTGATCACAGTGCTCCTTCAGGCCTGGTGTGCAGAACTCCATGTGACTAGAATACCAGGAATCACAATTCCTGAATTGGCATTCAGAGTCAATTAAGATTTGACCAACCATTTCTTGTTTCTTTAGACCAGAGATTCCCAAACTCTGGTACGTGCACATGATGTGATGTTCCTTCCATTCACTTCACAACAAATTTAAAATGGTGCAGGAACCAATAACGTCCGGGAGCTGCTTCTCTAGGCTACAAATGTTTAGTAATTTTTGTGATAAAATTACTCAGTGCTCAACACTGTAAAACTCCCCTTTTTATCCTACACCATATCGTAGCATTTTCCAATAATGTCAAACTGACAGTGCTCAACGATGTTAATTATAAGCATATTAGTAAATGTTTATTTTGTTAAATGATAATGCATTCTGCAGATTGGGAAAGAACATCACAAAGATATTTCAGTAGACTGTTCTTCACAGAAAGCCTTAACAACTACGAGCTATTTTGTAACATTTGACACTTCCACTGTTTGTCATAGCAGCTGAAATGAAAACAAAAGTTGCAATTTGCTGCCCACATATAATGTCACCAAGAACAATCATATAGAAATAAGGAACTGTTCCCTGCTGGAAAGTTTCAAAAGAAGTCATTTGTTTATGTGTCAGCCCCTTTGTCATTAAGCTACTCCACTTACAATTAAAATTCAATGCTATTTCCACTGATCCAGTGCAGTGCTATATTTGCTTAATGCTTGTATAATTAACAGCTTCACCTAGAGAGACTCGTCAAAGACAGTGAGATAAAGACAAGGTAAGTCAGAAAGTGTACACAAGGTTGGATTTTAAGATGAAACTACTGAATACTCTGAGTAGTTAAAATCTTTGTTGAGAATGGCAGAAGCCAATAAGGACAGACATAGATGTCTGGAATTTGTGGCCAAGTGGCCACAACTTTATTAATTTCATAAGAGGACACTTCCTGGGCCAACCTGCACTGGCAGCAGTGAAAAGGGAGAAAGGGCTGTGATGATCCCTCTGTCACCCGTCTTCACCCTTTTGGTGTTGAAATCCCACAGTCTCAGGCTGTACATCACAAACCAATCATGAAAGTTCTCAAAGCACCCAGGCCAACAAACTACAAAAGTCAAAGTTCACAGGATGCCCAGGCCAACAGATCAGAGGTCCCCAAAGTGCCTGCAAGACACCCATGAAATTTTCCAGATCCAAGAATCTCCATACCAGTGGCAAAGTCTGAGAGTATTCAGGCACATTATCCACACAATTGTTACACTCCAGGTGACCTGTGAAAAATACCACCTGGAACCAAAGTGTCCTGTGAAACTCAAAATACAACTTGCAAGCACAAACAGACTGCAAATTCATTGATACCTCCAACACAACCACCAAGGATAGGGAACAAAAGGTAGTATTTTCAATGGAGGGCAGAACAGGAATGGGCCTTCTTTTGCTTTTCTTGGTAATATCAGCTGCTCTGTTCCTCAGCCAAGCCAAGAGCCTTTTTCATGGACCATGACTATCTAGTGAAAGCTCTCCTCCTCTTCCTCCTCCCTGCACTGGCTGACTGCTGCAACAAGGCAACCTAGGGGCCCGTACTGCACTGCCCTGCAATCCCGAGACCAATGCACCTTTTGTGCATATGTAGTTTTATAGGCATGTATGGCTGGTTCTCTTTTAAATCAGATGGTGCTACAGTAAACAAGTGTTTCCATGCAGAAGGGAACGTTTAGTCATTTCTTTCCAAACTCTTAAATCAACTTGGAATTTAAAAATGAGAGATGAAAAAACCAACAACAAAACTCCCTCTCTCTGTCTCCAATCTTTTATAGTTAAGCTTCCATGTGACATGATCACCTAATTTGTATACTTCGCTAGTGGAGGTTTTAAATATTGATCTTCATTTCAAGGAAACATTTACAGGTAATTACTCTGAAAGTGGACTAATGGCTTACATTGGTTTGAAAATAAAGTTAAATGGCTTCTTTAAATCAATTACATAAGCTGCCATATTTCTATTTGCTGACAAAGCAGTATTTGGACTGATAATTATGCTCTACGTCTCATTCACCACTCCATTACACTGGTAAAACTTGACTAACTCCTCTGAAATCAGATATACCAGTATAATTCTGGAATAACAAATGCAGTTGTGAGTCAGGTGCTAATAAATTGATTTCCATCTTCTCTACTTTTTGGTAAGGTAAACAGATCATAAGCGATGTGTGGAATTTGCACAAAGGTTAATAAGAGCTGTCACAGTTTAGGGCAATTGCACCTGTATTGCCCCTCAGTGGCTCAGCAAGGACACCTGCTCTCAGCTTGCAGCTCCCCAGCCATTCCCTTTCTGGGTGGAGACCCATGTCTCTCTCCCTTCTGCCTGGTATATACCCAGTCTGCAAAGTTCTCTGCTTTCACTGTGTATTTCCCAGCATAGACAGGTTGCCCAAGGACACATGCTTGCGATATCTTCAGAGACTGATAACAAACTGATTCCTACAGCTACAAGTGACCACACAGCTCTTTCTAAGGCCTGGTCTACACTAACACCCCAATTCGATCTAAGGTACGCAACTTCAGCTATGTGAATAACGTAGCTGAAGTCGACATACCTTAGTTCGAACTTACCGCGGTTCAGACGCGGTCCACACGCGGCAGGCAGGCTCCCCCGTCGACTCCGCGGTACTCCTCTGGCTGAGCTGCTCCGCGGTACTCCTCTCGCAGTCGACAGCGAGCACTTCCGGGATCGATTTATCGCGTCCAGACCAGACGCGATAAATCGAACCCGGAAGTTCGATTGCCAGCCGCCGTAGGCTATTTTATTCTTAAGGTAAAAAGCACTTCAGAGAAAACATTAAGAGCAATAAAAGTACCTACAGGCATGCCAGTAATAATACCAGAATTATCCCCAACCCTAACTTGCATTTTCACAAGCCAAGTCCTTTCAACCCTACCCTCAGAACTGGGGCCCTCCATGGACTGGGGGGTTCGGATTGGCTGCTGGATCAGGAAGAAGGCCGTGAGCTAATTTACAACCAGTTTAAAACTATTTATCCAAAAACCCTATGTTAGTCTATGGAGAATCCACTTTGAACTAGTATATGCATGTCTCTCCAGCAAGATTGCCTTCAAAGAGTTGGTAATGGCGGAAGTACCTTAGCATCCCCCCTCCCTACTAGAGAAGGAACATACAATGCCACATACACAATTGCATTTGTAATGCAATGTACCCCAAAGATATTAACACTAATTCAACAAGGTTTAAGTTAATTCAATAAAGTTTATCTTAATTCCATAAGGTTTGTAACACAGGATAATGTCAGTCTGTCACAAGAGCCTCAATGCAGGGCCGATGCAACCACTAGGTGGACTAGGCAGCCGCCTAGGGCGCCAAGTGGTTGGGGGCGCCAAAAAGTGGTGACTCAAAAAAAAATTTTAAACAGCAGAGCACCAGGCTGCCACTGCTCCCTGCCTCCCGGTTCCAGAGCGGCACAGCTAGTCCCTTTCCCAGGGGGAGCAGCCGGCGGCAGAGCAGGGAAGGGGAGGGTCTAGCGCTAGCAGCTGCGCCTTCTTCCCCACGCCGAGGGCCGAGCCGGGCTCCCTGCCACCCTGGGGCTCTCAGCGGCTGAGAGCCCGGCTCAGCCCGCGGCGCGGGAAAGAAGGCACAGCTGCACTCTGCTCTTCAGGCGGAGAAGCTGAGTGTCTACTCTGCCTGCAAGGTACCTAGCCGGGCCGCAGGAAGCCGCATGGGCCAGCGGAGCACCGGGGGGTGGGTGGGTCCAGTCCCTGGCCTGGGGAATGGTGTATGTGGGAGCAACCCGGGCACCCCTCCCCCAGCCAGACCCACCCCCTCCAACACCCACCGACCGGCTACCTTCTCCCCTGTGCACCCCTCACCCCAACAACCCACCCTGTCTTGCCACTTTTGCCTCTGGGCAACCTCCACCCAGCAACACCCCCCCATCCTCCAGCCAGCCATGGTCACCTTCACCCCTGCATCAACCTCGGGACCCTCCCCACCTGCCATCTCCCTTCTGCCCACTCCTCCCTTGTGCAACCCCCCCCGTGCCACCTTCACCCCCTTGCAACAACCCCGGGCACAGACACACACCCCCGTCTGCCAGCCCCTTGCAACAACCCCCTCCTGCCCACTCCTCCCTTGTGCCACTCCCTGCCACTGCACCCCCTGCAACGAGCCTCTTTTGCCTCTGTGCAATCTCTTCCCTGCCACTACACCCCCTGCAACAATCCCATGCACCCCCATCTCTGCCACCTTCACCCCCAGAAGAGCCCCCATATGACCTCCCTCTTTGCAGCCCTCCCCCCCACGCCCCCTGCACTTTGTGAACATCTGGGCCCCTGGGGGGAACTTGGCTGTAGGAAGGTGGGGGCTGGATATCTGAGGGGGGGGCGCAAGGTGGACATTTCGCCTAGAGCACAAAATATCCTTAGTCATAGAATATCAGGGTTGGAAGGGACCTCAGGAGGTCATCTAGTCCAACCCCCTGCTCAAAGCAGGACCAATCCCCAACTAAATCCCCAAATGGCCCCCCTCAAGAATTGAACTCACAAGCCTGCGTTTAGCAGGCCAATGCTCAAACCACTGAGCTATCCCTCCCCCCAAAATTATTCCAGCCCACTTGGACCCTCAACTTGCGACCACGGCAGGACTCAAACCTGCAATCTTCTGATCCGAAGTCAGATACCTTATCCATTAGGCCACGCGGCCACCTTGCACTACCCCTGCCTCAGTGTGGTTTGGAGCTATTCAGCCATTTACTTGTTATCTCTTGTTCTCTGTATACTGATTTCTAACATACATCCCCATAGTATTTAAGGTACCATATTCTAGTTACAGGTACCATTATTTTCTTGTAAGCACCAAATCCTTCTCCCACCCCTCTTTCAGGGCTACTGTCTTGAGTGAGCTCAGCTTTTGGGTTGAAGATATTCAGCCATTTACTTGTTATCTCTTGTTCTCTGTATACGGATGTCTAACATACATCCCCATAGTATTTAAGGTACCATATTCTAGTTACAGGTACCTCTCTTTCAGGGCTACTGTCTTGAGTGGGCTCAGCTTTTGGGTTATCGTCCCAGAGAAGTGTTGCTAGAGCCAGGCTACAGTTATTATTGAGGGAAACTCTAAATAAAGACATGAATATGGGTGTTGCCATAGAGCTGCTATGGTCTTCCTGAAATTGCCTTTGGTAGCTAATGCCATGGTTGAAACACTACCCTCACCAGCTACAAATGCAAACTCAGGGCTGACTGCTGGAATACCCATAATGCAGCTGAAGTGGTGTGGTGCAGAGAAAAAAAAAGCACTCCCGTACCTAGCCAGGTCCTGGTCTAGGTCAGAACTATTAACAGAAAAAGAGGGAACGAAAGAGGAATGTAACTGTAATGGAAAAATATTCAAAGGGTGACCAAGCGAGCTCTTGGTGCCAACTGGCAGGGGTCCCTGGGTCAGATATCTACATAATAGTTCACCAAAGGGTGGCATGTGAAGCTTCTGCCAAGAACTGGTCATCATAATCATTGCAAAATGTATGTACGAATAATATTTAAGGAGTTACATATCCATACTAAAATATGATAGTTAAGATCACCAGGAGGTGGCATACCTCGGGGATATTCCTTTCAAGTAGAAGGTAACAGAAACCAACTCCCTGTCTAGCCCTGGGTGCGTTGTATGCCTCAAAATTTATGCATATTTGCATATGGACCCAAAGGCAGAATGAAAGAATGCCTGTTTTACCAGAAAGAAATTTTATAGGATGAAGCAAACAGCTGGGGGAATGTCCTGTTTATGAACAAAGACAAAGGAATGTTAGGGTATATGTGGGAGTGCCCGGAAACACACAGGATCCTTCACCTAGCAGGCAGCTTACAGCAGGCTTGTCTCATGAAAGGAGGTCACAGCCCTACACCTGGCTGTAAAGTGCCACAAGGATTTGGGGTGAACAATATTCTACAAGACTGAAGAGTGTCTTTTTAATTAGGTCTAGGCTCTAGAATGTGTGTTATGATTTTGTTTTATACATAATAATTTGTCTCCAATACTTCCACTTGCTACTTCTTGAATCTCTGTTGTTAAAAAAACCAAACTTACACCTGATTTTACTATAAAGTAGGGCTGTCAAGCGATTAAAAAAATTAATTGTGATTAATCACGCTGTTAAACAATAATAGAATACCATTTATTTAAATACTTTTGGATGTTTTCTACATTTTCAAATATATTGATTTCAATTTCAACACCGAATACAAAGTGTACAGTGCTCACTTTATATTTTTATTACAAATATTTGCACTGCAAAAAACAAAAGAAATCGTATTTTTCAATTCACCTCATACAAGTACTGTAGTGCAATCGCTATCATGAAAGTTGAACTTACAAATGTTGAACTTACAAATGTATTGTACAAACAATAACTGCGTTCAAAAATAAAACAATGTACAACTTTAGAGCCTACAAGTCCAATCAGTCCTACTTGTTCAGCCAATCACTCAAACAAGTTTGTTTACATATGCAGAAGATAATGCTGCCTGCTTCTTGTTTACACTGTCACCTGAAAGTGAGAACAGATGTTTTCATGGCACTGTTGTAGCCGGCGTCGCAAGATATTTACATGTCAGATGCGTTAAAGATTCATATGTCCCGTGATTCTTCAACCACCATTCCAGAGGACGTGTCCATGCTGATGGGTTCTGCTCGATACCGATCCAAAGCAGTGCAGACCGACGCATGTACATTGTCATCATCTGAGTCAGAAGCCACCAGCAGAAGGTTGATTTTCTTTTTTGGTGGTTTGGGTTCTGTGGTTTCCGCATCAGAGTGTTGGTCTTTTAAGACTTCTGAAAGCATGCTCCACACCTCATCCCTTGCAGATTTTGGACGGCACTTCAGATTATTAAACCTTGGTTCGAGTGCTGTAGCTATTTTTTGAAATCTCACACTGGTAACTTCTGTGTGTTTTGTCAAGCTGCTGTGAGTATTCTTAAAACAAACATGTGCTGTGTCATCATCCGAGACTGCGATAACATGAAATATATGGCAGAATGCAGGTAAAACAGAACAGGAGACATACAATTCTCCCCCAAGGAGTTCAGTCACAAATTTAATTAACACATTTTTTTTAATGAGCATCATCAGCATGGAAGCATGTCCTCTGGAATGGTGGCTGAAGAATCACGGGACATATGAATCTTTAGCGCATCTGACATGTAAATATCTTGCGATGCCAGCTACAACAGTGCCATGCAAACACCTGTTCTCACTTTCAGATGACATTGTAAATAAGAAGCAGGCAGCAGTATCTCCCATAAATATAAACTAACTTCTTTATTTCAGCAATTGGCTGAACAAGAAGTAGGACTGAGTGGACTTGTAGGCTCTAAAGTTTTACATTATTTTGTTTTTGAGTGCAGTTATGTAACAAAAATTGTACATTTGTAAGTTGCACTTTCAAGATAAAGAGATTGCAGTACAATATTTGTATTAGGTGAATTGAAAAATACTATTTCTTTTATCATTTTTACAGTGCACATATTTGTAATAAAAATAATATAAAGTGAGCACTGTACACTTTGTATTCTGTGTTGTAATTGAAATCAATATATTTGAAAACATAGAAAAACATCCAAAATATTTAATAAATTTCAATTGGTATTCTATTGTTTAACAGTGTGATTAAACACGATTAATTTTTTTGAGTTAATCACGTGAGACAACTGCGATTAATCAACATCCCTACTATAAACCTATCTAAGTGCAGTGTGTTAAGCAGAGAGGAGATCTGAAGTAGAACTGGTAGATGGAGGGTACAGTCTCTTTGGAAGCAACAAAAATGTTAATACAGTAACTCATCCCAGTTAATGTTGTTTCGTTGTCACATTGCTGATCAATTAGAGAACATGCATGTTTAAAGTTGCGCAATGCTCCATTATAACGTTGTTTGGCAGCCGCCTGCTTTGACCACTGCTTGCAGAAAGAGCAGCCCGTTGGAGCTAGCTGGTGGGGGCTTAGAAACAAAGTGGGCCAGCAGCCCCCCTATCAGCTCCCTGCTCCCCTAAGTTCCCTGTGCAGCAGCTGCCCAGCAGGCTATCAATTGCCGGGCAGTTCAGGTGTCCCTCCCCCCACTGCTATGTGCTGCTCCTGCCCTCTGCCTTGGAGCTGCTCCCGGGAGCCTCCCGCTTGCTGTGCAGGGGTGCGTGTGTGGAAGAGGGGTGCTAATTGTAATACATTCTATATGATTTTATGAAAATATGCTAATGAGTGTGAATATAAATATGCTTCATGCAAAAGGTCTCTTGTAAGGTATCATTACAAAGCTTATAATCTACTGAGTGTGGTCATCCTATTTGTATAAATGTACCACTCTTGTATCTGAAACTAGAAATATGAAATATAACTCTGAGGGCCTATTGTAATTATGGAAAGTGTGGGCCATTAATGTTGGTTTGGAATCTTGATGACTCCCATCAACCAGGACAATTGACTGCAGGTGGCTCGGTTTTACAGTACTTGCAAGTCTTCCTGTATACGTGTGTGCTGGCAAGTGGGTAATGAAGTCTTACAGTGACATGTGATCATGTCACCTGAACTGGAATCCATCTTTAACCTCATGCCTTTCCATTGAGAAGGAGGGGGTGGGAACCCAGAGAGGGACAAAGGATTCCTGCCTTATGCAAAAAATATATAAATGGGTGAAACAGAACAAAGGGGGCTGCCATCATGAGGAATCCCCTAGCTACCACCTGAGCTGGAACAAGGGCTGTACCAGGGGAAAGGATTGTGCCCAGACTAGGAAGGCATCCAGTCTGTGAAAGAAACATATTGAAACATCTCTGAGGGTGAGATCTTATCTGTATTCAGTTTATTACTGTACTAGCCATACAGTTGCATGTTTTATATTATTTTGCTTGGTAATTCACTTTGTTCTGTCTGTTACTACTTGAAACCACTTAAATTCTACTTTCTGTATTTAATAAAATAACATTTTACTTATTCATTAACCCAGAGTATGTATTAATACCCGGGGGGGGGGGGGGGGGAATGCAAACAGCTGTGCATATCAGTGTTCTAGAGGGCGAACAATTTATGAGTTTACCCTGTGTAAATTTTATACAGGGTAAAATGGATTTATTTGGGTTTAGACCCCACTGGGAGTTGGGCATCTGAGTGTTAAAGACAGGAACACTTCTGTAAGCTGCTTTCAGTTAAGTCTGCAGCTTTGGGGCACGTGGTTCAGACCCTGGGTCTGTGCTGGAGCAGATGGGCGTGTCTGGCTCAGCAAGACAGGGTGCTGGGGTCCCAAGCTCGGCAGGGAAAGCAGGAGCAGTAGTAGTCTTGGCACAGCAGTTGGCAGCTCCCAAGGGGGTTTCTGTGATCCAATCCGTCACACTAATGTCAGGGTGCCCTCCATATCCCCCCTGCTCCTTTACCCCATCTCCAGAGAGTGTGGGGGAGGGACATGAAAAGGCTCAGGACAGAGGGAGCTTGCTGGCAGTGGCTGCTGTCTCAACTTGCTGATCTACTTAAAAAGGCAATGTACTTACAGTGGGGTCAGCATATTTAAAGGGGCAAGGTGCATCTCTCTCTCTCTCTCACACACACACACTGTGTGTCTCTGTCTCCCCTCCTTCCATTCATGTTGCCGTGTAGAGCGTGAGGCTACATTAACAACATGTTAACCCTTAAGGGCTCAACAGAGTGCTAGTTCA